CTGTCTTTTGTCAGTTGCTGGGAGGGAAAAACAGTCAACATAGACTGAGCAGTAAGCAATTTGGACCTGGGTGTGGATTCTCTGAAGATTTCCCTTGAAAGCAACTAGAGGAAATAAGAAATTACATAGGGGAGGGAACACACACACACACACACACACACACACACACACACACACACGACAACTGTAGGCTAGAGCAAGAAGGAAGAGAAAAACATTTCAGAGAACACTCACTAATGTGTGGCTTGAGCGGTAGGGAGGCCAAGGGAGGAGCCTTAAATGAAGTGCTAGACAGAAGACAACCAGTTTATGTATGTCCATTTAAACTTGGAAATCTGGATTGTGATTTATGTTTCTCACAATGTGAGGCCTCCTGAAGGGGTGAAAATGGGTTCTACCACTTTTCCCCCAGGTTTCAGTGCTCTATTTCCCTGCTGGAAAAGTGCTTTTACTTTTATTTTTATTTATTATTAAATTTATTCTTTGACAACTTCAAAATAATTTTTTTATATTTACTTTGGATTTTTTTTTTGTTGTTGTCTTTTAGTTTTGATTCTTTTTGAGACAGGGTCTCCTTTAGCCACAACTGGCGTGGAATCCACTATGTAGACCAGGCTGGCCTTGATCTCACAGAGATCCACCTGCTGCTGCTGGGACTAAAGGTGTGTTCCACCACACCACACCCAGCCCCCAAAAGTTTTTGGTTTTTTTTTTTTTTTTTAAAGTGTATTTTTTTAAAGTTTCCCTTGTCAAGAAACTCCAATAGACTTTCATATGAACATTTGAAAATTGCCCTGTTCTGACTTTTTTCTAGTTCCCTGTCTAGAACTTGTAATGCTAATTACTCTTGCCTTTACTTCTTCACATGTCCCATTCATGATTCAAGGACTTTCTTCTTCCCTTAGACACAAGAGTTTAGCAATTTGGGAGTCTTTTAGATAGACCCACTGAAGGGGTTCTCCAATTGCCTCACCTTGCATCCCTGTTCAGCATAGAAGAAGCCAGAGCGGTCGGCGTCCCTATTCCCTACTGGCAATTTGGGTAACCCCTTCAGAGGATGGTATGATAAGAATAGGAGGTAGGAATTGGCTAGGCAGTTAGGGTAAAAAGACCCCCAAAGAAATGTAGCCAGTTTCTTGGCTAAAAGTCAAAATGTCCTTGGGCCTGTTAGCAACATATTCTTTTCCAAAGGCCAAAAATGTCAAAAGTATTTGGGAGCTTGTAAAATCCTTAAAAGATTTTAGGGTTGCCTGGCGTGGTGGCACAAGCCTTTAATTCCGGCACTCAGGAGGCAGAGGGTGGATCTCTGTGAGTTCAAGACCAGCCTGGTCTACATAGTGAGTTCCAGGACAGCTGGGGCTACAGGGAGACCCTGTCTCAAAAAGACTAAAAAAAAAAAAAAAAAAAAGATTTTAGGGTTACCTCTTCAGAGGGGGGAATGTTGGAGGGGAGGGAGTGGGGATGGATTTGATCAAAACACCTTATATATATGGATGGAAGTCTCAATAAAGTTTTTGTAAAAAAAATTTTTTTAAGTCTATTTTTTTAGTTTCTCACAGCTGGGGCTACAGGAAGACCCTGTCTTAAAAAGACAAATATATATATATAAAGAATATTTCCCGTACACATGATTATGGAGTCCTATTCAGAAGCTTTAGCCTTTTAACAAAAGACTGAAGCCAATACCAGAGTAATTCATGCAAGAGAAAGCAAACATAGTTATTTCAGTAAAAGGCACTCCTCTCCCTGCCTAATTTTATGGTTTGCTTTGGTGTGGAGACTGGAAGTCTACTTACACAAAAACATATTAGCAAACTGTATCTGCCCAGGATAATAAATCAGCACACACTAACCAGAAGGCAAGTCTCTTTACCAATGCTTACACCTCATCACTATTCACTGTTTACAGAGCACTCTACATTCTCTAAGTGGCAGCCATGAGCAAATGTTACCCCACTGCAGTGTTTAAAAAAAAAATAGCTTTGGATAGTGCTCACCTTAGGTACAGCTTGAGTAAGAACCAGACCCCAGACCAACACCAGATCTTAGACCACCACACACCACAGTCCCTTTAAGTCCCTTTATGACAATCACTTTCCCATTTCCAAGAGGTGAACAGGAGAAATAAGGAGATGAAGAGACAAATAAATTAGTGTGAGAATATCACATTCTCTGAGTCACTTTCACTTTTCAAAGGCACTATTCAATAGCTTCCAGGGCTAGCACACCAGTTAAGAGTACTGGCTGCTCTTGTAGAGGACCCAGGTTTGGTTCCCGGTACCCACATGACACCTAACAACCATCAGTCACTCCAGTTCCAGAGGATCCCATACCCTCTTCTGACCTCTTTGGGCACTGCACAACAGGTAACAAACTCATGCACATAAAATAAAAATGATAAATAAAATGTTTGGGGTGTTTTTTTGTATTTTTATTGATGTGTATGAGTGTTTTGCCTGCATGTATGTAAGTGTATCTGTGTTGCACAATGCCTGTAAAGGGTCAGAAGAAGGCATCAGATTCTCTGGAACTGGAGTTATAGACAGTTGTCAGCTAGCTACCATGTGGGTGCTGGGAACCGAACCTGGTTCCTCTGCAAAAACAAGTCAGTGCTCTTAAACCACTGAGCCATCCCTCTGTCCCAATAAAATGTTTTCTAAAAAGATTTACCTTCCCTCCATAGACCGCATGTCCCCTCAGGTCTGAGTTTGCATAGGCAAATCATATGTACTCATCAAACATGCATATAGTACAAAAAATAAATTAATTAGGAGCTAGGGATGTAGCTCAGTTGGTAGACAGCTGGCCCAGCATGCATGAATCCTGAATTCAGTCCCCAGCACTGCATAAACTCTACCTGGTGGCACATGCTTGTAATACCAGCACTGGGGACATGGTCCTAGAGGATCAGATTCAATATCTGAGGCTAGAGAGATGGCTCAGTGGTTAAAAGTACTGGCTGCTCTTGCAGAGGAACAGAATTTGGTTCCCATCACCCACATGTCAGCTCACAACCATCTGTAACTAATTAGAGGAAATCAAACACCATTTTTTGGCCTATGCAGACACCAGGCATGCAAATGGCACACATACATACATAAAAGAAAATAAGTAAACCTTTTAAAAAGAGAAAAAACAAAATTCAAGGCTATTCTCAACTACATTAGAGCATTCAAGGCCAGCCTGGGATACATATACTGTCTCAAAGAAGAAAAAAAAAGTAACCTTAATTAATTAATAAATACATAATTAATGGATTCAGAGTTTTACCCCCTACACCATCATTCCTATACAGTGTCACATGCATCACTGAGCTCTATTCCCAACTGGCATTAAGACTTTTAAAAGCAGCCAAAATGACAGGCAGTAACTATTCTTTCAATAGATTGCCAATACATTCTCTCCTATTTAAAAAGTTTCTCAGAAGTGGTGAGGACTGACAGGTTAATTATAGAAACAAAGAGCAGGAACAACTGGACTATGAGGTAACCAAGTCTAAATTCGCAGAGGCAATGCCCTCCCTGGGGAAGCGTTCCTGTTCCCTCTGCAAGGATTCACTAGGCTCAGCCAGGTGCAGTCCTGAGCCAGGATTGGAGCAAAGGTCCAGATCTGGTAAGGCACAACACTGCATGCTTGAGAAATTTGACTAAGGGCTGGGAAAACAGCTTACACCTCCAATAATAATCAAAGAAGTCTCTGGTAAACACAACGGGCAGGTGGAAGGCAGGATCTTAAAGCTGACTGGGCGCCCGCTCATTTGGAGCAGAATGGCCAGAGAGCCCCTTACTAGGCCAGGCCCACCTGTAAGAAATTGTGAGAAGCACTACAGCCGATAGAGGAGCTGAGAGGAGACCAGAATTCTTCCCCTACAACTCCCACCTAACTCCTTCAGCTGCTCGTGGCTGCGATTTAGGTTAAAAGAACCCATAAGAACCTTTCACTTCCATTTCCATCCCCCACCCCAACACCCCTCCAAGGGGGGGGGGAAGATATTTAGATATTTTAAAGACTGAGGAGATAGCTTAAGGTCAGCCTCAACAGGCAAATGGGCCAAAGAATGGAATGTGGTCCCTCTGAGTCAGGCACTGCTGCAGGGAGTGCTTTTTTTCCTAATAGTTTGTGGCTCCCTTGTTATGTGTACACTGAAAGTGTTGACTCTCAGTGCGATATCTGCCTTATCTTTGGCCCTGACTACGTGGCCAAAGTGTGAAATTCAAAATACTGAACCTGAGTCTCCTAGGGGAGTTACTCTTCATTTATGGGCCACAGGTCTGGCAGTATGCGATGGGTCACCGACTCTTCCGGAGACAAGGTTCAGCTAATTCAACTTTCAGCACCATCACCACGCACCGGGTGGGAGCCCCGCCTCAGTATCCACTCATTCCTTGAGGAATACATCCTGGTCAAGGACAACGTGGAGATGATGGAAAGATCATCTAGCCACCTTAGGCAGGCGGAGACTAAGGGAGTTTATTTGGGATTAGTTCCCAACTCCCGCGTTTTCACCGAATGGCTTTAAGGAGCCAGCCACCGGTCAAATCTAAAGAGTGTAAAATAGTTATTTGGGTGTTGAGCCTACTCGCCCTCCAGGGAACTCCTCCGCACTCCTCTTCACCTTCCAGGACTTTCCTGGGCTTCCAATCAGCTTTCCCCGACTCTTAACACGGCGATGAACAGGGAGTTGTAACTCCCTGCGCACCGGCTCTACCGAGCCCCCCCATCTCCGAGCCTGGGGACAAAGCGCATCTCCTACAGCCGCGCGGTGCTTCCGGGGCGCAGGAAGACAACTGCCCTTGGCCTTGGACGCTCACCCCGCGGGCGGGCTCCGGGGAGCGCCGCAACCGGGAAGAGGCGAGCAGCAGCACAGAGCGCACAGAACGCTCTGTGCACCTGGACACGCCCGGCCGCGGTCCCCACCCATCCCCGCAGGGCTCCGGCCTCCCCAAGTCCCAACTGGCCCTCAGCGCCGGGTTCCCACGCGCGTCCCAGGCTGCTCTTACCCGGGAAATGGCGAGAGGCTGCTCGAAGTCCTTGCCGCCCACGAGGCGGAAGCCCCAGGGTCCTGGGCCCTGAAGGACTATCTGCTGGGTGGTCATCGCGAGGCACAATCGGTGGGATGAGACGCGCAGGACTCTGCAAGACGCGCTGGGCTCCCGGAGCAGCTGTCGGAGAAAGAGCGCGCGGTGCCGGCCCTAGAGCTTGGGGCGGGCTGGAGCGACGCGGGTGAGGGCGGGGACCGATCCGCCCCGGCC